TTTCATTTTTCTGGATATCTCCATCATCCATTTATCTTGCGTGGTTACTTTTTTTACATTGCTTCTCCATATTTTCTTCTCATATGTTTCACTTGCCCATTTTTCAAATATCATTCACTGGCTCTTCCACTGCTAAGTCAATTCTGTAACCATAAAGACAGGAAATGAACCATTTCCCTGAATTACCCTGCAGAAGCTGAGATTTTTCTCCTTGTTTTTGTTTGGTGCATGCCTGCTTTTTCCCCTGCCTCTTCCATCATGTAAATTATCCCTACACTCTCCTTCAGAAGCACGCTGCCCATAAATTATCTCTACTATTGCTAATGAGTGACAGTGTATGTAGGAATACTTTCCCCCATTCTTTTCACCTCTTACTATAACACACATTCCATTTCTGTGTCATGCCTCATTGCCATAATCATCTTGGTAAATATCCACATCTTCTATTCTTATTCCTACTATTCAAGAAATAAAAGCAATACTTCTGAACCAACTTGTCCATTTCTTCCTCTTTGCCTGCTTTTGTCGTGCCTTTTTTTGCTTAAAAAAAAAACCAACAACCCCAAAACCAACCTCAATAAAACAAAGAAACCTCCAGAAAAATGAAACACAAAACTTTCTGCCTAGGTCATCTTTTTTCGCTCCTACAGCATCTGCTAAGTGTGCATAACCTGTGACCTATGTCAGGCAGAATTCCCCTTTGATGAAGTTGCATTAAGTAGCATTACATTTTAAACTGTGATTCCTTTCCAGAAATTGATTTCTAAAGGCATGGATAACGTAAATATAACAGCTAAGCCTGAGACACAACAGCCAAAAAACCTACTACTGAATCTACTCCTACTTCTTAGAAAAACAATGTTTAAAAATCATTGGTGTTTTCCTCTTCTTAGCAGAGCTGTGCCCTAGCAGACTGTCCTTTAGTTTTGAGTGCACTGTTTGAACAGGGTAGGGAACAGATAAAAATAATACAACGTGGGATTGCTCCATTCAGAATTTTATTATCTCTACATACTTCCGTATATTTCAGGTTGATGTATCCAGAATGTCATCGGCTGGTTGTATTAAACTGTGCGTAATACTGGTCTGTTGGAAAATTTGAATACTCTTCGTTTTTAAGATAAATGTTCCTAGCAATGAAAAAAAATGCAGTTAGTAAATGTTTTCTCATTATAATATAGAAGTAACCCGAGAAACCTAAAGAAGATGTAATGCATAAACACTCATAAAATTCAGAATTATTTGAAATTGAATTAAATATAACTAGATCTTTTTCTCCAAAATGTATGCCACATGTCAATATAGCAAACTTTTTCCATCCTAAAATAACCTTCCAAAAATCTCATAATGAAAACCTAAATTAACATAATTCTTATTTTTTGCTTTCATAATAGGAAAGCATCAGGTACTGCAAATTCTTTTGCAAAGTGTATGTATGCATGCATGATACGGAAAAAAAAAAGATTGGAAGACTAGAACACTGAATCACTTGGTTTGTTTTTTTTTTCCTTCACATGCTATCTTCGTCCTTTCCCATTAGGGCAGAAACAAGACTTGTCCACCAAGACATGTGCAGTGGTTAGCTGAAGAATCATCTAGTTTTGTCATACATAGTGGAAAAGCTCCATTTGTACCATTAGCTTAACCTTGAGCTATCAGAAACCAGCAGTTCCACTGAAGTCAGTGCATACCCATTCTTTTTTTGTTTCAGAAAACTAAGGTAAACTGAAGAAACACATACTGTTTTACACCTGATAGTTTTCTGCATAGTTAATTGTCTTTATTCTCTATTTTGCTATCTATATAAACCCTCTGTAAGTCAGTAACAATCACAACTTACTCTTTAAAGATTGCTTAAACAGTACTGAAAAACACACTTAAGCTGAATTGTTGATCTTTTAAAAAGTATAAACTTTCAACATAGGTATTTTAAAAAGTAACAGACACCACAAGTAAAAAAGCTCTTTGAAAGCCAAGCTATTGTGTTGATGGTAAAAAGTCTTATTTAAAAGAAAGAAAACCCTTTTGGTACTTACTTTGATTTCTGCTCAAGAGATAGGTCTCTGTTTATGATATCTAAAGCTTGGCGGCGTTCCCGATTCTGTCGTTGTTGATGCCGTTCTAAAACCAAGTGCGCTCTTGCAGCCTGTATTCTTTGCCTGTCCCATTCGGCATCTCTCCGGCGTTCTTCCTCTTTTAGTCTCTACAGAAATGAAAAAAATGCTTCTTTTTCTCTTTGTTCAGAGATGAAACAGTATATATAAAGCCTGACTGGTAAATTCACCCAAACAAACTTGCATTTCTTTACTGAACGCTAGGGGTAGCATTTGAAATAGGGAGGAAAAAGTTAAGCACTTCCAAATGAGGGAGAAGTCCACACATTAGGCAGAAGTAAGATAGTTTTCTCATCTGCACCATCTCTTTCCAGGGAGGAAGACAGACTCCCACCTCTCCGCAAGGTAAGAAAATTAGGATCTGCTGCCTGGCAGAAGTCAGTTATCAGTAGATTACTATTTCTTTCTGACATATTAGCTTTCTCTAAAAACTCAGAGCAGCAAGACAGTTGTTTGGGGTTTTTTTATAGTTCTTGTTAGCAAGAGCTGTAACTTCCTGAATTTCAGAAGTTAGTAGTCATCAGTAGGGCTTCATTACATCAGTGTAATAACTGAGCCACCAGCATCAGATGAATAGATCCAAACTGCTTTTTCCTCTGCCTCTCTTATACTATCACTTTCTCACTTGTCTGACATCATATTGAACTGATTCAAGAAATCAGGCCTGCAAAAAATTTCTTGGTGGGGCTCATTTTCTGCCACCTTAACTGCTTGAATGGGCTCACTTTAGGGTCATAGGAAAGTCAGGAAAAATGACAATTCTATCTTCAGCTTTAGTAACAGCAGTAGATAAAACATAGTGTAGCATGTGGTATTGTAGAGATTAAGAAATGAAATTCTATTATTAGCTATTATTAATTAATTAATCCAGCCTCTGCACTGAATGAGGTAAGTAGCTTCCTACTTCACAATACACTTGTACACACTGTACACTCATGACTGCCTAGGTAGATTTCTTCATTTTGACTGCCTGCTTCCATCCACCTTTAGAGCAGCAATTATTAGCAATATTTAGTTTTTATATTGTAATTCTATCCCAGAGCATGGCTTATAGTTGTGTGGGATAGCAGAAAGGAAATACTGTTGCATTCATGAACTTTCAAGACTATGAAACATGCAGGATCACTGGACCTGCTCTATTTGTCTTGCTCGAGTACCCTTGAGCATGAGGGCATTGCTCCAGCCTGCCCTGCTCTCACCCTCAGCTCCTAGCTCTTCTTCTATGGAGCAGCCTGCTTCTGCTCATTCCTTGCAGGCAGCTCATGCAGTTTCAGTTTCTCAACTGTACCATGAAGCCTAGCTCTTGAGATGTGCAGGATCCTACTCCTCAGCTGGGCCACCATGGACCACGTCCCAAGATCCTTCAGGACTCTTGGCCCTGGGGTCCACAGCATCGGTCCTCGCAGCCCAACTCCAGGGCTCCTGCTGCTTGATGACATTTTCCAACTGCTTCAGAGACACTGTGTTCAGTTTGATTGATTAAAGTTTCAGTAAAATTCAGATCAATGGAAAATGCAGTCTTATAATGGCATATGCAGGGCATAGAGTACTATTTTTTCTACAAAGGTTGTCTATATTATGATAACAACGAGGAAGACAGAACAGGCAAGTAAGCTTAAATACCTGTTTCTCCAGAACTTGTTGCTGTTGAGAGTAACGGATTGCCATCAGTTGATCCCGATTCATTCCTTTCCATCGGTCTGGGATCACACGATGTCTACCAAAGGAACTGACTGCTTGTTCAGGGTTTTCGGTCAGAAAGTCTCCTTGAAGGTGGTTGCAAATTTCATCCATGTCATCCTTTATTTTTTGATGCTTTTCCAACTTCTTTCTCTCAGCTAGTTCAGTAGCCTAAATTCAGTGAAAGGAAAGAACTGATAGCTTTTCCAAGAGAAAATATTAACTAAAGGATGCAACAAAATTAGGACATCACAATAGATTTCTTTCCAACTTGCATACAGTTGTCAACAGCATCACATACAAAATGCAAACTCAAATCATATCATGTGAATTATTTTAGTATTACAAACCATAATATGCATTTACGATGGAAATCATGATTCCTAATGTCCACTGTAAGATCTAAATCTCCTATTCAGAGGAAATTTTCCTCTTACAAAACTCCAGAAAGCAATTATGATGGTTTTACTTTAACGTAATTACATTCCAAAATATAATTAGACTCAGTAAACTAATTCAAAGAAGAATGATAATGCTAAGAATAATTTATTTCTTCTGTAATGTATAAATTAAACCATCTGGAACAATTCACACTGCTGGCTTTCATCTGGACAGAGGACAGGTAATCTTCTGGCCAGGGCACAAAGAGCACAGGCTGCCAGACCTGCCTCTTGCATGTGTAGCTTTACACATATGTTTTGACTGCAACAGATCAGTGGATACCTGTCTCTCCAGTTTGTTCAAGATTGCCTCATGGTCTGTTCAAAAATCACTGCCTTGAAAATTTTCATTTTGTAAGTTAAATAGAACAGCTCTGTACTTTTCTTGCCAGTTACTAGTTCTCTGGTTGGCACACACACGTTTAGAAAGTGGATGAGGACAAATGAAAAATGAAGGGTTATGCATCGAGAAAGTCATAGCAGGTAAAATAGTTTTCTTTGGCATGTAATGTGAAGTTGAAAAATTATTGGGCAGAATAACTAGAAGATATAGACAAGTGAGGATGACAGGACTATCGAGACATGTGGGAAACTGTTCCTTTGCAAATGCTATGGAGAAGAATCCTAACTCAGCAAGCACTGTGATCTATGCCAGCAGAGGAATCTGCTAAGCTATATTTATATTTATATTTATATTTATATTATTTCTGGACTTCAAGTTTGGATGACAACAGTTCTCTCAAGCATTAGGCCTGGAAACTGCCAAAGAGTGACTTCTCTTTGCTCCAAGCTAGCAAGAACAACAACCTGTCAGGGACTGGACAGAAGAAATAACAAATAATACTAAGTACCGCATCCTAGATTAATAAATATATCAGCTGAAAACAATCTTGTGGTTTCCATTAAAATAAGAGAAGTATTTGATGTGCAAACAAACCAATAAAAGATAAATTCTTTTTTTTTAGAATTATAAATTAGCTAAGCCACAATTCAATTTGGATAATGCAGAAAATCTCATATTTAAAAATACTTATCAGCCATCCAATAGGAATGTACTCTCTACTCTAGAGCAAGAAAAAAAGAAACATCTGCTTTTGGACAAATGGAAAAACTCACGTGAATCAAATTTCAGGTTGCAAAGCACCAACTTCAGATCTAGTAATTACTGGCTCTGCCATTATAACATCGAATAATACATTGGAAACCAAAGGCCACTTTTTCATCTTTCTAAAGTCAGGGAGTACAATTTTTACCAGAAGTTTAAAGCCACTTTTTAAATTCAAAATGGGTTTTCCTGAAGTTTGGGATTTTTTTTTTCCTCCAGAAAATTAAAAAACTTGAGAAGAACTACAACATTACAATTTCCAAGAAAAAAAACAAACAGAACAAACCCAAAGATTTTCAATCATCCAGTATTTCTGGGATAATGATCCAGAATATCTAGGTATGTACTTTTAGCTTATTAATACTATGAATAATTATTTTTAGTTTTGAAAATGCTCCAGAGCAAATCTCATTTAACAGAAATTAATTTTGGATGGATCTCACGTAATTGCTGGCCTTGAAGCTTAAAATGTGTAATTTTTATTTACATCACTTTATTAATGTCACTCCGCTGTGATCTGGCAACAGATGCAAAAAAGGCACTTAGACCTTGTGACCTTAACCTTCTCAGTAAGAGGGAGAAAGCAAAACTTCTGAGCTGCCTGGGAATCTTACTGGAGGAAATTCCCAGCTCTATGCATAGCCATGCATGTAGTGCTGCTAAGCAATGATTAATGACACTGCAAAAGAAAGATTTTAAACTTGGAAAATGCAATTTAACCTATCAAGTCAAATCCCTAATAAAACATAATTAATTGGTGCAGCATGGAAAAAAAAAGAGATGCACATATACATGCTCCTTCATTTATTTTGATTTGTGACCCAACATTATATATATCTTCCCTACTACTAAATGCTTCCTTTCACTGTTTATTCAAGTTATAAAGCAACAGAAGAAATGCACATAGAAACATTACAAGGTCAGGAATTCACATGCTTAGAACACCACCAAGTCTCCAGTGTGTGAAGAACTAATGTTGCCAACACTGGGCTAAAGGAACGCACAACTTCTGAAGTCCTTATCACTAAGTCACAAAGCTCACTCATGACCAGATTGACCTATTCAGGGTCTTAGGAACTTGTGAAAGAAGTATTATCAATCCGTATAGTAAATGCAATTCCTTTGTATTATACGGATACTTCTCTCATAGCCGAGAACTGCACATCTAGCACATTCAAGTTAGGAACTTCTGCTTAGCAAGGTCTATTAAAAATCAGTACATGCACTACGTTTTCTCATGCCTGAAAATGTGGTAAAGTTGTTGAAATATTGATGATCCTAGACATTGAATATCAAGAATAAGATGTAAGTCATAAAAGATATTTGCACAGCATGCTTCAAAGAATGATTAAAAGTTACCATTCTTCTATGTTTAGGCACTCAAGTATTTCATTTCAGGTGAAAAAAAAGGCTCCACAGGTAATGCAAATACATAATTTACTCAAAGTGTGAAAAACTGTTTCTCTGAAGTGGCTGCTGGCTCTGAATGTATTAGTAACAGCATAATATTGAGTGACTAAGGAACTAGAATAATGCCATCAAATGTCCATGATGACATTATCCACAAAACTATCAAGCTGTTGTGATGTGCCCAGGAATAAATTCTAAGGACATAAGGTCTATAAGATTGTTAACAAAACTAAATATGAAATCATGAAGTTAGAGATCCTCTAATCATATCCTCTCATTTTCTTAGCATTATCTACAAAGTGTCTTGGAAAAGATTCAAGTTCTGTTCTTCAGCAAGAAGACACTTTCTTTCTGATTTCAAGAGCACCAGTGTATCATCACTATACTGCTAAATTGGGCATTCCCAAGAGTGATTATCCTTACTGAGGAACCTCTTTCTGCAACAGTAAGATTCTGTTAATGCAATCACAATCACATCAAAGAGAAAAATATATATTCCATTCAGCACATCATCTGAGGGAAAAAGAAGAGCTTTCCTCAACCATTCGGGGGGGGGAAAAAAGGAAAATATGAAAACAGTGTCATGGTCAAAAAAATCCAACTTAAGTACCTCAGGAAGAAAGAAAAAACGAAAAAGTTGCAAGCTGTCACTCCAATCTATACAACATAGCAGGTGACAGTAAGAACTAAGAGGAGACTTTTGCCCCAATCTCAGTTATCATACCCTTATGTTAGAAGAAACAAAGAGCAAGACTTTTTAATATATTTAATATGCACATCAGCTAAGTAGAATGCATATGCCCAAACATTAAAAGCCACACCACACACAAACCTCCCACGCCATCCCCAAACCCTGTCACAAATTCAGGAATTTTCACATAGAGTCAATTGGTATGACAACAGTTATTTGGGATAATACTGCTACTGTAAGTGCACCAGCCATGACTTCAAACAGTAAAAGCCTTTTCAATTATCTCAGGCTATCTATAAACAAAATTAGAGGTCAAATGTTCTCTGAAAAGCTCAAGCAACACTTAAACACAAGCTTGCATGCTTATATACTTAAATCAAAAGATACCATGCTTGACATAGGTAATTTTAATGTGGCTTATTTTGATGTGACTAAATAAATTTAAAGATAACACACAGCAAATACAGTTTAACCAAACAGCATTCATGTAGCCCTTTGAGCTGTACATACAAACTGAACAGAAGGAAAAGAAATATCCATGCAGTAAGATAGGGAACTGGAGCATGACAGATAGTGGTACTAAGACAGAAAGGTTTATGTCATGATTCAATAGGTTCCAAAGCATGCTTGGTAAACAATCAAGAGACATGTACAAATACCAAGGAAGCAGCCAAAGTGTCAAAAACATAAGCAATAAAGACAAAAAGCTACCGGTTGTAATGTTTCCACACAAGCAAAAAGAAAAGCAGGCAGACACAGGTAAGATTATCCAACAACTGATATAAAATGAGAAGGAAGCGTGAGAGGCTTTTGCTTTACCTCAGTTTACAGACCAAAAGTCCCTGATAAACCAGGAAGTTGCTGTCCTCTGATCAGCAAGCTGAGAACCAGGAGGGAGAGTTTTGACAGAGGGTATCTAGATAGTGGATAGCTAGATCCTTAGAGAGAACAAAGTGAATAAATTCTATCTTCCAGTTACTGAAAGAACCTTGGAAGTTAACTGCTAAGAAACCTCTGTGAAAATATCATTACTCATTGTACTTCTGTGCATCTTATTTTCCTTTCCTGTCTCCACATTTTATGATAAAACAAACCAACCCACTATTATTTTACCTGGGTTCTATTGTAATCTTTAGTAGCTGCACAAACGGCGCGCCTGTTTTCTTCTTCTTTTCGTTGTTGCTCCATAGACTTTTGGTCAAATTCAATCCTATTCTTGTCATAAATATAATCTAAAGTAGATTGAAATGAAATTTAGTCAATATTCATGGACATGATCTGCCATGTGAATAAGCCACTGTAAGGCAGACAGACAGACAGAGGAGCCACAGATACAGTAAGCTGAATTACATATCTATTTCCAAATCTTACCAGTGAAGCTTTCCATCTTGGAATTTAAGGTGACTCATCAAATCAGTTTATTATGTAACCGATCTTTACAGTTAGACAAAGTTAAAAAGTATGTTAAGTACTGCATGTTTCATTGACAAGCTAGAAAAGAAATTCTGTCTGCTCTAGAACAGTAAGGATGGGACAGTTTGGTCTGCTGAAGCAAATATGCCACCTAGCATGCAAAACAGGTTTTTTTCAGAATGCTCCTATACTTCATTTGAAGGCAGAAAACAGAAATGAAAAGTAGGTAATATTACAAACATCACCTGTTATTAAATACAGATTTCTTAAATGAGATACTGAATACCTTAGAGCTTGTAAAGTAAAGACTACTGCAGTTTTTCTAAGAGCTAAATACTGAATATACTAAAATACTGCTATGTCAAACTGACACAATGGGCTGTACCATATTTTTGTCAGATACATCAGAATTTCAGAAAAAGCAGACTAAAACATTATCTTCTTTTGTTACCTGCAAATTTTTGATCAGCTAAAGCATTCTTCAAGTCTTTCTGTTGCTGAAGAGACCACTCTCTTAACTGCTCCTTTTGAAATTTGATTCTCTCACCATAGTTCAAGTCTTCACCCATAAACTTCTGCAAGCCCGATACAGTACATCGAGGATCAGTGTCTGAAAGTCGAGCAGGTCTATCCTTCTTTAGAGCTTGTGGATCAGACAGGTCAAATTCACGTCTGGTTTCTGGCTTCTGAAAATTCTTCTGAAATTCATTGATAGCCTTTCTTATATTTCTGATATCATTTTTCTGTTGTTGTTCTAACATACACACGATCTTGTCATTTTGCTTCATTTCATTAGCTGGTAAAAAATGAACACAAGGAAAATACAACTTACAGAAGTGCACGTGTCATGGAAGTGCACATGTAAGATGGAAAATAAAATTCTAAAGAGGAATAAATAGAATACAGATCTTCAAACTTTTATACATTAGAAAGGAGTATTTTATCTCTGAGTACCAGCCCAGCAAACACTCATATTAGTAGTGTTTACAAAACACTTTAAAAAACTGAAAGTTTTTTAGGTATCAATTCTCTTATTGATGTTACAATGAAATATCTGCATGTGAAACAAAGACAATAATAAATACTTCTAGAACAATGAGGGGTCATTTGATGAAAACTTGCAGTAACATATGTACTGTATACTAATTCTTCCCATTTACTCTTAGTTTACAGCTACAACTGAGATACATTTAGTTGCTTATTAAGAAACAAACACAAATTGGGCTCCCAATGAAAGAAATACAGATATTTGTTTCATATTTTCCATGTTCTTTCTAACCATAGCACTAAAATAAATGGTTGGTACTAACAGTTTTTGAAGAGCTTAATAGCTCTTGCCTATTTAATCAGAACGCTATAATCTATTTAGTTTAAAAAAAACCCAATCAACAAAAAAAACCCACCAAAACTACCCATTTTAGCCATTTAAATAGAAGTCGCAAGAAAAGATCATTTCCTCTGTTGCCAGACTACACATTGCTTCTGGCAGTTTCTTAGCAGTCAGAGTCTGCCAGGTATTCTGTCTGGAAAATCACAAGTAGCCATAGGAGCACAGCACGGAAGTTGGCAGCTCCATTCTAGCTCTTCTTGAAACCCACAGAGAGCTCCATGTGTGGGACCTTTTCACATGATACCATAGGAAAGCATTCCAAACACAGAGGGCTACAAAGGGTTTTGAGGTCAGGGTGCACAGCTCAAATATTTGTGTGGCTACATGTTCTGACTCAGCAATGGCTCCTGCTTACAGCCCTGTTCTACATGACTCGTGTTTCTAGCAATAATAACCTATAGAGGATTCTATAGAATCCATATATTCTATTGAAGAATGGCCAGAGAGAACATGGGCTTACTCTACAAGACAGCAATCAAACAAATTTGCCACTACTATTCTGAGAAGAATGGTATTAAGTAATAAAGCTTTTTTAAACTGCCCTCGTATCGTCATGTCTCTAAACAATGCTATTTGTCAACATTTATCAAAAGAAAACACCAAAAATTCTGGCATACTGGGAAATGTATACCAGTTTAATCACCTCAATATAAATCTTCAAATACCAAGGAAAGCACATACTATACCAATGCAAATGTATGAACATAAATAGGACTACACATTATAGTATTCAGTTTATATATCTGAATTTAGGGAAAAGGCTATAACTGTGATTGTATCTTGATTGATAGAATTATATACATAGACCTATGTAGCAAGATGCAAGGAGATAGGCTCCAATTGGAAAGAACTGAAACAGATGAAGGGAAAAAGAAAGCAGGAACAGATGGTAGATTACAATTAACTCTTCACACAAACATCATAATATCTGTGAATATACCAAGCTCTTCATTTCGTGCTTTTTCAGCTGCTTCTTGAATTTTCCTATCCTTGACCTGGGCATCCAATGCATCTTTGTCCACCTGTTAAAATGAAAAAACAAAACAAAACAAAACCCCCAGCTCTTTAAAAGACACTATGCTTGAATGATTAAAAACAAGCATTGTCAAGCTACACTGATTCACAGTTGTACAAGACAGGTACAAACCTACTACCAACAGGATATGTACCCATCACAATCCAATGTAGGTAACATAAAAAGAAAAATTCAGAAAGAGTTGTACTCTTGTTTGCTTCATTTTAATAATGATAGGAATATTTTTGCACCAAATCAGAACAGAAGATCACATTTACATGATACATAGAGCTAGAAACAAACATTTTAAGCTGCATTACACAGATCATGTTCTCCCCACTCTAGCTGGAATTTTTACTTTTTCTTGTTGTTCTGCTTTCATTTATCAAGCAGGTAAACAGTATGATAGTCATGATAACAGGAAGTTGTAATAGGTCTGATTTTTAAAAAATACAGATGGTCCACTAAAAGTACATTGAAGAAATAACAGGGAATATAAATAAATTTCTCCATCTTATCTGACTGGGAGTGGGATTCATGTAGTTGCCAAAAAGCAATACTAGGTGCCATTTGAGATACATGCAGACATCTACAATGAGCTGACAGAATACAATGAGCGATGCAGAATATTCACATCCTTGGAGAGTGGCACCTGAGCAAAGCATAATACCCTCAGGCATATCATCAAATGGTAGCAGCCACCTACATTTTAGACAAAAGAATCAGGTCCCATATTTGTTGAGAGAAGGTGCCAAATTAATAACAGAAATGTGGATTTTATTTTATTTTATTTTTTTTTTACTTATCAGGTCGCTTAATGTCTTTAAAAGATTTGTCAAAAACTAACAAGAAGTCTTCAAGAATCTGGTAAACTATTTTGATAGTTTTTGCCCAAAAACTATTCAGATCAAGACAGAAAGACCTGAACCAATCATCACTGAAAATACACATTGTTAATGCTGTAAAGGACTATAGACTATACCAATCAGGCGAAGAGGTAAATCTGTAAGCAAGAGCAAAGTAATAAATAATTCTACAGGGCATAATTGTCCAAAAACAATGGTGTCACGAGCATTAAATATCAGCTCATTTAGAGGTCTCATTTGGGAAACCAAGCTTTCAGTAGAACTATAGGAAACACTGTTAAGAGAAATTCAATAGGACTTCATTAGTAGCTTGTGGCAATTACACGGGTAATTCAATGTATTGCCTTGTGTGTGCAAATTCAATTACGCTATCAGCTCTTTCCCATTTGAACAGCTTTACCTTGACAAGAATATATCCCTAAAATAATCATTCTTAGGCACAAAAAGCTACAGGTTTAACTTTCAAGCATTAAAATAAGAAAACTCTTGCTACAATTTGAAGCAGCTAATTTCTAATCTACTTGTATTTATGTATAACAGTTCATATATAAATGGACTTGGCCTAACTTATTGGCCCAAGAATAGCCCTTCCTGTCAGCACTCATTATTCAGCCAATGAATAAGGTGCATTGAATGACGTCAAAACATTAACAAAATTCCTTCAGTGGGCTCTCCTTCATTTAGATGTTTATCTCATGTAAATGTATCTACCAACACCTGTATGATAAATCAGTACTGTAAATGTATTTGGGAAAGACCTTCAGATGGTGTATTTCAGTATTGTTCAGTAAAGTACACCAAGATATGCTGTTTCTTTCTCAGCTATATCATTGGCTGAGAATTTATGGTTTACATTTCATTTTTAAAGCTCTAGAAAAGCCATCTATACAGAGAAATTATGTCTTTCCTGATGAAGAAAGTGGAACTATCTTACCATACCCTTAGTTATTAGCTCTTTCCACTTGTGTATTGTTGGCTACTATATGTGTCAGGATGCTGTATCAGGTGGAGAACCTGTCCTTTTTGTTAAGTAGGAACTAATTTGTTGTGCAACTATGACGACTCTTGTGCAAGAGTGACAAGAATAAATGCAAGGTGCTGTCAGAGATAAGGTGAAGATATCCTTACGCTGACTCGAGACACGTTTCCCAACCTGAGACAAGATGGGCCTTTAGACACATTACAGGAAGATTAAATGAACTACTGCATCCAAAAATTAAATATGTATAAAATACAACAGAATTTCCTGACATTCAGGGTGCAAACTGCATAGATTACTCTAGAGAAAACCCATCACACTGAAGGTACGATCACCAGCGATCTTCACAGACTGAAGAGTGTTCACATTCTGACATCCACTCCAAGAAACATCAGATACATCTGGCACAGGTCACATAAACATGGCCTGATGGAACTTATTTTGCCTGATGCAAAAGAGGGGCCAATTGCAAGATCCCTTTCACTAATAAATCTCTCACAGCTGCGATCCTGGCTTCTAGTGAGAATCAAACAGATGAGGGGAAATATCAGCAGAGTAAAGAGGTAAAAAACTTATTGTTTATGCCACATGACATGAGCTGACTTTGCAACAAGCTTCTGGCTTACTCAAAAGTAAAGCATACTACATTAAAGTAACTCTTACACTGATATTGAAATACAGGGCTTGATCCTTCTGTCCTGTTAAGCAAAAATGAAATTCTGCTTTTGAACCCTACAGCAATAAGGCACAAGTCCCTCTCAGACACCCTCACACACCCCTCCCAGCGACAGCTGCCAAAAATAACTGTTGGCGATGCCTGGCGAGTATCAACTCACTTTCACCAGCAACTTCTAAAAAGTTTTGGATAAGTTTTCTTTACAGAGGTTTTTTTTAAGTTTTCTTTAAAGAGTTTTTTTAAAGTTTTTTTTTAAAAAGCCCTCTAAAAGACGCAAAAGGACGCCTTTCCCCCCACACCTGTAAATCACGCGTGCCCGCCCACAGGCACCGAGGCGGCGCTGAGGGGGGGCGCGCTCCCGGCAGCGGTTGGGGCGGCTCCGTCCCGCCCTC